TGGCCGTGTTGGGGTAGCCCATACCCAGGACCCCGTCAAACTTGGCGAAGATGAAAGGGATGGCAGGCAGGGCTGTGGCCTCGGCAAACACCTGTACCACTGGGATGCCGCCCACCTACAGGCGGTGAAGAGCCAATATACCTAGGTGAGCGTTTCCTAAACCTAGGGTCAATGTCTCTCGTGGGGTCACTTGATTTGAGGGGGAAAACTTTACACTCGGTTCGTAGAACCGGTGTTATGTGACTAAGCTCAAAATGCCGGTTCTGTTGCCCTCCCAAAAGAAAATCCACATTGGTTATTCACAATAGTATCTTTCTTGCTGCTTTTCAAACCTTACCTACTTACAATTTAAATGGTATCCCAAATTGGTCAAGTGCAAAGAAAGGCTGTTTACCTTCAGCTACACCACGTCACACTCACCACAACCACATCCTCGCTAAGGAATCCCCTGACATTTCCCGAGGCGTACTGGATAGAGAAACCCGTCCCGTTCCGGATGTGTGTTCGAGAAATGGCGGCGTCATATCTGTTATGCGTAACTGAGCCATCAAAGGGTCGTTAATGATCCACAAACGTCACCCTCTGTGGCAAAGCAGCGGCACATTGGCTGGGTTTGTGTGTACTTACAGCAGGCAGTATAAAGAGGTGAACAATGAGATGAGGGCACCCACAGGTTTGCCGAGCCAGTATCGAACACCACGTTGAACATTTGTGCAGGAGAACCGATACTGATCTCCCCGTAGTACTGGGTCTAAGGAACAACGACAAAAGGAAGAGATTATTTAGCGTCCATACTATTGGGGTCTGCGATGGTTTTGCATATCTACTGTACTGTTTGTGGTTGGAGCAGTGTGGTCAGGTGGCCTCTCACATCCAGGTAGTTGGTAAGAGGCGTGGTCCCGTTGCTTGGGAACAGCTCGTCTTTGCCACTCCGGGTCACTTCAGCGAAGAACTGGGCTGGAGACACGCCAATCTCATGTAGGGTCTCTCTTATGGAGGGCATCTTCTTTAGAGCGACCCTGGTCAGGGACGATGAGAGGGAGGATTGTACTCATAAACAGGTAGAGAGCCGCGATTGGTCGGGGATCTGGATATAACGTAGGTGACGTTTCCACAGCATCTCAAAAAGACACATTCTCAATGGATTCATTTGAGCGAAACAGGCATTATGTTGTGTGCATTAATGGGTGAAACGCCTCCACATATCCACACCAGGTCATTTGTTACATTTCTTTACAAATTGTATTTAAAGATCAGAAAAGACTGCAGACTGTCAGATAAACATTACCTTTGTAGGGCATGGCTGGTGGTCAATGTCAGCAACAGGGCAACCACAGAAACCCAGCATTTGACCAACAAGGCCATGAAGACTTGGAGACACGAGAGCTTACAGGCCACAAGAAGACACGCAAGATATTCCTCAGTGCGACCGGCTGGTTGTCTCTCCGCTGTTTTGAAAGATTGGCCCGTTTCTCCACGTCTCATGTTCCTCTACTCTTTTTATACCCTCCTCTTCTTCAATGACCTCTGATCCCAGGGCAAACAGGTTCCAGCTCTGAACTGTTCTAGAAGTATCCACCAAAACCACCCATGCCCTCCAGCACCACCCACTTCTGCCTCCCTTCCTACTCCCTCACCCGGTCCTCCCCTCATAAACAAATCCCAGTGAGATGTTTGAACTGGGACTCCTGGGAACGGATTGGAAACAGAAAGCGGGGAAGCAAGGCTCTAGAGAATAGGACGATGTAATGAAGCTGGTCAGATGAGTCTTATCCAGATTGAGATTGGCTGCATTAAAAGTTACATTTTGGATAAGTTTTTAGTACATTTATTTAAATCTTAACACAGACATCTGCACTTTTGTTGAGCCACACAGGTTTCTGAATAGGTTTGTTCGTACCAGAATGGTGTGATGAATTTGGATTGGATGCTATATTAACTGTAGCCATGATAATGATGTAGCATTTGTTAAAACATACGATAAAACGCTAAAGCCTAGGTGCAACTTTATTGTGGGTTTGATTTCTTTTCAGCTTTAGATTGAAACTGCACTCCTTTATCATTACTGAAGTAACTTTTCCCACACCTACCCAGTCCTTATCTGCAGAGTCGACAAAACTGTCTGTAAACATACATGTCTGTAAACATACTAAGTATGGCCAAAAATCCTTGGGGACAAGTGAACACCTGCCTTCAAATGATCCAAATCAATGGTCGAGTAGGAATACATTTCATCCCATACTGACTTCATGGGATTTGTGCTATTAGCTGGGCAAGCTCATGTCTTTCTGTGCTGTAGACTAACAATGACCTGTAAATATTTAGGACTGCATTTGTTTCTACTCAATAGTCAGCAAATGGCCAGTTTTACCTAGGCTTGTTTTTTCAGTGAACCATTGCTGTAATAATAAAATCACCACACAATGTGTAAAATGTGCTGAGTAAACTATTACTATTAAACTAGCTGGAAATCAGGAACCATCTTAACCATTTTATTATATGCATGTTACTCCAATTTTGCTACCGTTGTGCTGACGTTGCTTGGCAACCATGGCAAGAGGACTTCCCGGCAAAGTGGTTCAAAATGATATGTTACTGCATACCATATAACATTTCAGTCATTTGCTTTTTTCCAGAGTGACTTACAGAGTGTATACATTTTACTACAGCTAAGTGGAAAAACCATACAACTAACGTTGAAGTACTTTCATTCTACCAAATAAATAGCATAAGAATAAAAGTTACAATGTGAGAATAAAAGTTACGATGTTATTGCACACCACTAAGCAGAGCGGCAGCACTAACTACTGTTTTTATTAAACACAATCTACATTTGTTTGCTGAGATTGGATGGTTGGGTATTTATTTCTCAGCTAATGGGACCTGCTGTGTCACTACTTGAATCTACATTAGCAATCCAGCTACTGTGTCATCATTGGTAAAATGATCTGGCTCCGAGGAGGAAATGCATTCTCTCTCCAAGTCATGAGTTTGGGGGCAGGATAGTAAATAGGCGGAAACAACCCCAACCCCAATGGTCGTAAGTTCAAATCCAAATGGAGGGGATTTCTTTCGAACCATAACAGAAAATAAGCTTTTTGTTGTCACTATGGGATGTTGTTTGCAGATTGATGAGGATATTCTAAAATAATAACAATATATAAAGAATATAGAGGGCCAAAATATCTAACAAATGCAATGTAGCCTTCTGCTCCTGATGTAGCCTCATGCCTTGGACTCTATGGGCTGGACTGTATGGAAGCCCAAAAGGCACTGTAATTAAATCATAATGCAATTTTACAAATGCATTATCATTTTCAGTATGTGTACGTGTTACATGGGACAATATTCAAAAGAAAATGCAATTACGTTATCAAAATTGCATTGGCATTTTTAAGTAGTCATATTGGCGTTCTATGGCAGTATCAAAATTAGAATGGAATAATGGTTTGACATTTCATTTTTCAAAGACTTGACAGTGGACAAAATTAAATAGAAGAAGCTGAACAGCAATTGCAAATTACCTATCATCAAGGCGAGTGTTCAGTTAGGTCAGTTAGGGCGTAACTTCCTTGTGATGTGTAGCAAACCAATACCAAAAGTAAAAGATTATATTTGTTTATCATACAAGATTTACATTCTTCAGGTAAATGCCTGCAGCTGTTGATGTAAAGTTATTCGAGTAATCATTTTCGAGGCAGTTAGTTTCCAGTGAAAACTCCACAGAATCTAGGGGATACATTATAAACTCTTGGAAGACCGTTTTGATGATATTTTCCAGTGCCAAAATCCATAAGATCCATAAGATAACAAACAAAGAATCTTACAAGAAGCTCGTTTAAAAATACATGCAGATTGTATTACTCAATTTCAATGAAGGGCAACAGCATATTGAGGAACACAAATAGAATAAAAAATATGCATCAACGTTAATTTGAATAAATAAAGAACTTCATCCAGGTAGTTTGGGATGTTTTAGTTGGGGTTCTTCTCTGAACTGTCCTGCCATCGTGCCAATATCTATTTGTTTCATGCTGTATATTGTATGGCCAGCTGTGGTCTTTTTGAACATTAGCTTACATACCAGCCGGATTGCGTTCCCACAGTATTTGATTTGTGAGGCTAGGGTCATATTTGTGTACTGTAGTGACCAACCAGCTCACCAGGATATATGGGCATCTACGTCAGACATAGACTTGCACAGCCCTGGTAAAGGTTACGCGTTCGCCCTTTGCCCCTTGCCAATTCCCTGTGGGCACATCTGCCAGGAACCTGTTAGCCACAGCTAGCAGCGTCTGGGAGTGAGAGTGAGAATGACTTTCTAGATACTGTGTCGGCTTTTCAGGCGAAGCGGTGCTCTGGGTATCACAATTAGAAAGGTGTTGAAAGGTCTAAACGTGTGATCTTAATAACCCCACAGAGGTGGATAGAGGACTTGGGGTAAAATATATTTTGTCATGGACATCAACATTGAGGGCTTAACCATTTGAAAGTAAGAACTAAATGAAACTTCTAAGTGCTCAAGTAGTAAGGACCAGATAGTAAATTAGAACAAACTAGAAAAGGCGTATCTACCGCATCTTCAGCAGAAATACGTTTTTCTGAGAAAAAACTGAGTAAGCAATGCCTGAAAACTAGATGCTTACAGTTTCTGTCCTATTCAGGCATTTCTTTTATTCAATCTACTATCATGACCAGAAAAACGGACCCAAGCGCAGACACAGAGAGTTCATACACAGATATCAGATGACTGGAGGTACCAATGCGTAGGCTGGTTCGTGGTCACGGACAGTAAATGATCAAAGCAGGTTACGTAGACGATAGTACCAGGGGTGGGACAGGCTCTGGGTCAGGAACAGAAACGTGTCAAAACTGGATGCAGAATCAGGAACTGGTAACACGGAGCGACACACATGACAAGCCAGGTGAGACAGATCAGAGTGTGACATCTACAGTGATATCATATAACAGCCTTTTGTTAATAAGCAGTCGGAGGAGCAGTTGGTATAGCTCAGTGGTACACTGTGTGCTTTAAACATATGATATCCTGGGTTCAATCCCCAGTTTATCCCCAGTAATCGGCCTACCTGGTTAAATAAAAATGATGTGTCTACTCATTTTCTACAGGAGCTGTCACCCTACTAGGGAACACTGTACAGTGTAAACATGGAGTTTACCCCATTAGTCTTGATGACAACATTTTGGCAAGGCCACTCTGGGTCACGTTGATCTCTGGATCATCCAATCTTTGACCCTGAGGGCCAACTGAATGCCCACCAGTCTGTTTCCCATACTGCACAGCAAAACCCATGCGTCATCCCTGCTGTGCTTTTCGTCCCTCCCCCTAAACATGGTGGGCATGAGAAACATATAAACTACTACTTTGAAGGCAAGAATCTCTTATTTGCTCAGACTTTTAGGCTTCAGACGAAGGGAAGTATTTGTGGTTAATTGAGGTTTGTATTTCTAATTGGCTTACTCCAAATGTATTTTAGCGACCTTGGTAAGGCCATTAACCGACCCACCAAACGAGTTATCCATATTTAGAGCAGCGTGTAGTCTGCCCGCCAACATGTTATTCTTTTTTGGTGCTTAAATTAGATTGAATTAAAATGAGATTGAATTCTCAACAATTATTCAACAAAGCTTTTTGAATAGTTGACATTGCAGAGGCCCACGTGTTTAAACCACAGGACATTGACATGTGATGAAACTGTTAATAAAAACAGTTCAGTGATTAAACACAGAACAGGTCATTTTACCTTCAACTGACAGTTTTATTAAGATCAGGAAGCGAATATGCATAGTGAAGTTTGTTAGGCGATAAATCCTTAAATAAACAAACTGCCATCCTCCATTTTACTAGTTTCCTATTTGCCATCGGATTCAGAATATACATAAAAAGGGTCATTCTTAAATTGGCTGTGTTTATCCTGCGGATCCATTAAGCTCCAAGCATTGTAGAAATGGCTGTAAAGAATTTCCTTTAGTGATGAAAGCAGCGAAACAGAGAAACAGTTAACACACTCTGTGAGATCTGATTAATCACACGGGTTCTCAGTGTTAATCTGCTATCCGTTTCTCAGACCATTAAGGGTTTGGGTTTGTAATTAATAATCAGTTATACCCCAGAGCCCTGTCAACCAGGCCTAATTCCCCTGTTGGATAGGATGAACTAGACAGCATAGCATTTGTTCAAGTGAAATCCAGACAAACTGAGCCTTAGGCACAGTAGTCAGAGAAGCAATACTATAAAGACAAATATTGTACTGTAATACGATTGATGAAAAGCATTAAAAACATGCAATTACAGTGCAGTCCAATACATCAGATTACTGGGAGTATGCAATATCTTTGTTCACCAGCAGAGAGAAGCATTTGTCCTGTATCTCAATGGTAGAAACAAAGCGATCTCGATTGTCTGAAATGTACAGAGCCGACAAAACGTACTTGTACGTATGTTTTTGCATAACTTGGACAAAACAGTAGAAGTAAAAATAACCTTCACTTTACCTCACTGATATTTACAGCCATGCAGACACATTAAGCTTTAGTTGTCCCATTTACTCTTTGAGGAAATGTACACATGGTTTAGGCTGCACGTCTCTGTCGATCAGAGACGAACACACAGTGAGATGCAAATATTCAGACTGGCTCGGAAATGAGACATTTTTTACTCTAGCCCAAATCGTTCATGTAATAGTTTTTAAAGACTTGCCCATCCGGCACCCAGCGCAGTAGCGTCCCTCATAAGCCATTATATAAAGGACTATGTTTAATCGAAAAAGGGAATATGAATGGTGTTTTACTAGGTTATTGCACATGAGGTCTTAATCAACTCCACGGCTTTCAGCCATTAGAAAAAACAAAACATGTGTTTCATAAAAAAGCGCTCAACAGGCCGAAGCAAATCCTGTCTTTCATCAATTTAGCGACATGACAAAGTGTCCGTATCCACCTTTGTACATTCCATTAATATTTCATCCAATCGGTGCTGTGTGTTCTCCGCCCATGGCCAAATTCAATTTACGCATAACTGATCACTCCTTGGGTTCATACATCTTGTTGACAAGCCACTTAATTTTCTGTTCATTTATATGGTGCCTGGGTGAATAGCGTGCATACATCTACTGTATGTATCCTCATTGAATGCATGTTTTCATTCATGTCTATGAGAGTGGCCTGTTGGGGGTGATTATCTGGAGATAACAGTATCACCCTGTCTGTATAGGGCTAGTCAATTTACATTGGCAGAGAACTAAATTGGAGACTTAACAAGAACAGAAATTCAGAAGGTAGTACCTTCTGTACACAAGTGTGTGTGTGTTTAATTTCGTGCCCTGTATGTTGTTACACACAACACCATAGCGTCATCACTGGGTATACAAAAGGTTTTTGAAAGTGATGATTGAGTTAGCATTGCCACGTTGGACAATACAATAGAGCTGTGATTGGTCAGAGTCATTCTAGCTGAAGTTGGTACGTAATACATATTTGAAACTACATAGATACTCGTCCTCTGACTTCCCCCCTTCCCTACTCAACAATCGAAAAGAGCTAAACGTTGGAACTTTACTAACACATCTACATTTATTTTATTCATGTAGTTGTAATAAAAGATGTTTAATTGCTCTATAGGTAATTATGTGATCCGTGCTGAAAGTTTACACTGACTGAAAAAATGAAGCAAAACCCTGTATCTCTGGTGCCATTGTCGAATGGTGGGAGACTTATGAGAGTCAGTGCCGCCCCCTGTTGGTGAATAATTGTAAGTGAATTGGGCTGATAGGTAACATCGGAAAATAATAATAATGATATTACATGATATTTTGAGCGTCTTTCAGGATACCAAATGACACTGAACAATATCATTCAGGTAAAATACCAGGCTAAGATGTGTTGTTTTTTGTTTTGGGGCAGCAGCACTAAACGCTCGATCACACATTGTTACATGTCTAGTTTTTTGGACAGTGAGCAGTCGAGAGTTGGAGGAGTGGAGACTAGAAAATTAAGTTTTTAACTGAATGAGGTTGAAGAGGTAGGAACGGGCAAAGCCATGGAGGATTTTGTAGGTATGAAACAGGGTCTTATAATGTTTGCAGAACTTGATGGGGAGCCAGTGAAGGTGTTGCAGTGTGGGTAATGTGTTTCCAGAGTTTAGTGCGTGTGAGGAATCTTGCAGCAAAGTTTTTCACCTTTTCAAACCAAATAATAAATGTTTTAGTGTCTGAACATGTTTCACTGTAGGGAGATAAAATGAAATTTCCCAATCACAAAATAAAGTCTGAAAAAGTCATGCTGTATCTGTCTGTCACTTCCAGGTCACATGAAAGGTTTGTCAGGATATCCCCATGTAAAGAATGCACTGTGCTCTAATTGCATTTTGGACAAAAACAAGCCATATCCTACTACTCTCTCTCTCTCTCTCTCTCTCTTCACAGGCAATATAAAATACCAGTGAAATCCTCAATTGAGAAAACTACAGAATTCCCTGTCATTTTCAGGATTCTTTGTGTTGCAGGTAATATATATATTAAATCCAGTCCAATCAAAGTATAGTAGGACACAACGTCAGCTGTGCAGGGTCTGCCGTCTCTACGCAACCTACACACCTCCATAAACTATTCAGAAGTTTGAGGTCAATCAAAACCAAAATCTATCACAACATGAACAGTTTTGTCCCTACAGCAGTACAACAATACAATACAACTTTATTTATACAGCACATTGCCCAAAAGTGCTTTACAAGGGGAAAGATAATAATATAAAAATTATCAAAAGTTGATAAAACCATTAATTATACAGAAAAACAATCATCAATTAATCAAAGGTTAAAGCAAATAAATATGTTTTTAAATAAGTTTTAAAAGAGGCGATTGATGTAGCTGACCTCACATGGAATGGAATACTGTTCCAAAGTTTGGGACCTACCACAGAAAAAGCACGGTCTCCTTTTGATTTAAAATAGGCCTCAGTAGGCCTCAGGAACATGCCCCCGGAACCAAAATGACTTTAGCCTGCTCCCCACATTCACATTCATTCAGAACTCTCCCTGGACATCTGCACCTCACATACATACATATTACATTTGACAAATGTTAGTATTATATTTTGTCTAATTTTTTTAATTAGTTTATTACAACAAAAAAAACTTGTTTGTTTACTGGGCATTAAACAATTTCTGATTTTGATTAAGATTCTGAATATGTCTTTGTTCACAAATGGAAGTTGAATGGTGGGGCTCTACTAAATACTGTTTTTTAGAGATTAAATCGAAGAAATTGCAGAGTATTTTGCAATGCTGGAAGCACTGTCTGACCAGGACATGTATTTGAATGCATTGTTTTTTATTTATTCTTTTGTTTATAATTGAACAGATATTTTCCCTTTTGGTTTAATTACCTCAGTAGAGTTCTGCTGGCTTTCTACAATAACTAGTCATTTTTTTTGCATATCCTTGGACTAATTAAAACCAGCAGTGCATTAGGTCCGAACTGGACCGAACTGGACCTAACTGGACGAGACTGGAGTTGAGAAGACATCTCCAGAAAATGTAAATTTCCTGTCTTAGGCAAACACAAATGTCCGCTTATTATTATGGTGTCCTAAAACCAGAACTGCCATTCTCACCCAATTTGACAATGGCCTTCAGGTGGAGGGCACAAAAGTGTGAAAGAGCTTAGTGTCACGATTGGTGAGTTGTGTTGTACACAGGGTGTTAAAGGAGAGCACTTCCTGTGTATTGTCTTGATTAGGAGCACAGCTGTTTTGGGTTTAGCTAAGCACCGGGCATAGGTTATGTAATCAGCGGGCTATTTAAGTTCCCTGGTTAGTATCACAGGTGCTTGTTATTAGTATAATGTTACATAGGTAATGTAATCAGTGGGCTATTTAAGTTCCCTGGTTAGTATCACAGGTGCTTGGTATAATTATAATGTTACATTGGTTAGTTAATCAGTGGGCTATTTAAAGTCCCTGGTTAGTATCACGGCTGCTTGGTATTGTTATACGTTACGTTCCATGTAGGTGAGTGGGTTTATGTAAAGTCATGCACTGTGTTCTGCAGATGTTT